CTCTGGGACAGGCTGGGACAGTGGATCAGATACTGTCCTTTCACACTTTGGGACTGGCTGGGACAGTGGGTCAGACACTGTCCTTTCACGCTCTGACAGCAGTAAGTAGTGTTTTGAGTTTTGACCTTATGAGCCATACCATAATGGAAACTGTGGTGCACATTTTGAGTTTTAATCTCTGGTACCATTTAATACTGTTACTGAAGGTGCTGCATAATCTGATTTTGAATGGATCCATTCATCTAGCAACAATGCCAAGAACAGCCATTTCCAACCCTTCAGACCACCCACAGCAAAGGTTGTAGTGAAAGATGGGTCAAGTTTGCTGGATGTCTAGGGTTGAATTGAAGACTTTGTGGGGTCATGAGGCCTCAGGGCATAGAATAGAGAACCCAATATGATGCAGTAGCATAAGAACGGAACTAGGCCATTCACCCTGTCGTATCAGTTCCACTATTCAGTTAGCTTCTGGATGATCTGCATCTCAATTCCATTGTCTCCTGCCTCCTTTCACATCATTCCTTTAACCAACAAAAATCTACTGACCTCAACTTGAAACCTCAAGTTTCACAGCACCCAAGGCTCTTTGGTGAGAAAGTTCTAGATTCAGACTACCTTCTACCTGCTTCTTGATTTCTCTGAATGACCCAGCTCAAATTTTAAATGTAACGTATTCAGTGATGCTAAGATGCGTTACTTTTCTTGAAAAAAGTTACCTAATATTGCGGTGCATCTCTTCGTCCAAGAGTTATTTCCAAATCATTTCCTTTTAAAATCCTGTTGCCTCTTATGATCTGGAAAATAAGGTATTTCTTCCTGTTGCTGCCAGTCTAAATAGCTTCTTTGTATCTACCCTTTAAAGTAACGAGCAGACATTGGATCATTGCCAGCCTATTTATGAGACCAGCCCACTGTCTCAGAGTTGATCAATGATCCCGGAATTAGGAGGGTTTCAAACTTTGGAGGAAGTTATTTTTTTGGTGGCTGTCAACAGTTAGCGACTCTAAATCTGATTTGCATAACAGTTTTTGAGAACTTTGACGTTATAAAGTGTCGAAGTTGCCTTGGGGCCTCCTCTGGGAATGGCAGAGGACAGAAACAGGTCACCAACTGTTTGCTTCCAAGTCATTGTTTTTATTTTTGTCCAGTTTATGTGACCTTTTCCTCCTTCCTGTTTTCAGACCGACAACAAATTGCATTCATCTAGTGCCTTTCACATCGTTAAAACAGCCCAAGGTTCTTCATAAATGCGTTATTTCAACAAAATCTGCCACTGAAGGACTGAAGGAGATATTAGACTGGGTGACCATAATGGTCAAAGTGCTAGGTTTCGAGCAGTGTTTTGAATGTGGAAAGAGACAGAGAGAATCTGAGACTTGTAGGGAAGGAATTCCACAGCTTAGGTCCAAGTGAACCGAAGACACAGGCATACATGGCGAAGTGTTGATTGCAAAATGATTTACCAGGATGTTACCGAGACTAGAAAGTTTAAGTTATAAGGAGAGGCTGGATAGGCTGGGACTTTTCTCCCTAGAGTGTAGGAGGCTGAAGGGGTGACTTTGTAGAGGTTTATAAAATCATGAGGGGCATACATAAGGTGAATAGTCGAGGCCATATCCCCAGGGTAGGGAAGTCCAAAATTAGGAGGCATCGATTTAAGGTGAGAGGGGAAAGATTTAAAAAGGACCTGAGGGGCAACCTTTTCAAACAGAGGGTGGGGCGTGTATGGAACATTCTGCCAGAAGAATTGGTAGAGGTGAGTTCATTCAAAAGACATTTAGACAGGTACATGGATAGGAAAGATTTAGAAGGATGTGGTCCAAACACAGGCAAATGGAACTAGTTCAGTTAAGGAAATGGGGTTGGCATGGGCATGATGGGCTGAAGAGCCTGTTTCCATGTTGTGTATGACTCTGAATCTAAATGTGAATATCAGAGAGTTTTAGGACTGTAGGCAGTGGTGAGGCAATGAAGGGATTTGAAAATAAGGATAAGAATTTTTTGGTGGGGTGGCGAAGAGAGAATCCCAACTGGAGCAGCCATGATCTTATTAAACAGCTAAGCAGGCTGTACGACTCACATGGCCTATTCCTGCTCCTAAGCCCATATTCCTCTATCCTGATTTTCAATTTGAGGTTTTACTTAACCAGGAGCCAATGTAGGTCCCCGATCACAAGAGAAATAGCGAACAAGCCTCGTTGTGAGTTAGGATACAGTCAACAGAAATTTGGACACACATACACAAATGGATGGTGAAAGGTCAGCCAGCACATTGAAATAGTCATAGAACATAGAACAGTAAAGCACAGTACAGGCCCTTCGGCCCACGATGCTGTGCCAACCTATTATTTTAATAAGATCACACAACTCTGCAGACCCTACATTATACTATCATCCATGTGCCTATCCAAGAGTCGATCAAATATCTCTAATGATCTGACTCCACTACCACTGCTGGCAGCACATTCCACATGCCCACCTCTCTCTGTGTGAAGAACCTACCTCCCCTATACCTTCCTCCAATCACCTTAAAATTATGTCCCCTCATAACAGTCATTTCCACCCTGGGAAAAAGTCACTGGGTTTCCACTCTATCTATGCCTCTCATCATCTTGTACACCTCTATCAAGTCACCTCTCATCCTTCTTCGCTGCAATGAAAAAGGCCCAGAGTCATGCCCAGAGGCAACAAAAGTCTGGATGAGGTTCTCCTGTCACAGATGAACTGAGGCAGGGTGGAATCATTTAAACCTGTGGACATAGAAATAAAATGGATATGTAGTTTGAAGGCAATGAAGTGGCTCAGTGGTTAGCACTGCTGCTTCACAGTGCCAGGGACCCAGGTTCAATTCCACCCTCAGGTGATTGCCTGTGTGGTGCTTGCACATTCTCCCTGTGTCTGCGTGGGTTTCCTCCGGGTGCTCCAGTTTCCTCCCACAGTCTAAAGATGAGCAGGTTAGGTCGATTGGCCATGGGAAATTGCCCATAGTGTCCAGGGGTTTATAAATTTGGTGGATTAGTCATGGGAAACGGAGGACTATAGGGAAAGGGTATGGGGATGGATCTGGGTGAGATGCTGTTTGGAGGGGTGGTGTGGACTTGTTGGGCCGAATGGCCTGTTTCCACACTGTAGGGATTCTGTGACATGGTGCAAAGAAAACTATTACAGGTGATTTCACACTAGTTAAATAAATGAAAAAAAATGAAACTGGGTGACAGCATTCCCACTCAATTGGATGAGAAGAGGAGTGGCATTTGGGGAGGATGGCGTGGTCAACCATGAAGAAAGGCTGCAGACAAGTCCAGAGGGATGAGAGGGGGGATTGATCACTGTAGTTGCAGTCACCTTGGATATTACATGTCAATTTATTGAGAGCCATTTCAATGATATGGCAGAAGCGCTGTACAGCAGGCCACCCCTTCCTAATGTCCAGTCCCTACGGATTAGGTGTATTTGCTTGTATTTGCCACCACTGAAGCTGAGAAGTTGCCACCAGCATTGGGCTTAGATCCATTCAAGGTCCTTGGGTGGCCACATAAAAGGCTCGATTGGCAGAGGGGTAGGAAGGTCACCCCTGGGTATTTCTGCTCAGAACTTCATTCTGGTGGAAGTGAGAAAGTGACACGGGTTTGCTTATGCCGCCACTCCAGCTAATTATTGGCTCTTGCTGCCTCCCATGTTGAACAGCAGTAGATCCTGCTCCACATTCAAGTCCAACCAAGACCTGGGAAAACAATCTGAACATTTTCCATGGATTGCAGAGGGGTTGTAAAGCCTTTCATTGGTGTTGCTGGCATTTGGTGGTGGCCTTTCTCAAGAAGTCCTCACATTTTACTGGCAAAATAGCTCAAAAATGCCTTGTGACTGGACAAAATCCTTGAAATGTTTCTTACAAGCTTCTTTGCTTCTTCCATGGGTAATGGAGAGCAATACAGATTTCAACTGAATTCACATGAGGCCTGTGGACATATTAAAAATCAGGCAAAGGCCTATCACTAATCTAAGGCCTGTGGTCTTAGCAACAGAATGTAAGCCCTTTAATCAGTCAAGCTTTTTCTTGAAACCCAAAAGTATTAAAAGCAGTACAAGTTCCATGGCCAGATGAACCTCAAGCCTGGTGTTTAGCTTCTGTCTTTGTGTTGAACAGGTGGCAGAATCAACAGTCGTGACGTGTGGATGTACAACTCCCAGCTGAACATCTGGATGCGAGTGGCCTGTTTAAACAAAGGCAGGTGGCGCCACAAAATGGCTGTTCTTCTTGGCAAGGTAACAGGAAATTTTAAATCAACCAGAAGTTTAAACTCTGACGTAACTAAATACCAAATTAAAAAGGACAAAAGCTTTTCAAACATGCTGAGTGTCTTGATGAAAAGCCATTTAAGAGTTAATTCAAAAGATGTGGTGAATCAAAGAAATTAATGTTGTGGTGAATGACTGAACCTGCTTCCTTTAGAAAGAACTCTGTAGTAGTTCCTTTGATAACATAGTGAAGAGTGCATTAACTAGTGCAGTATACAGCAACTGATTCCACTGTTGGATTTGAGTTTGTGCCTTGTCCCCTCACAATCTTTGTAACCTCCAACAGCATAATGATCCTCTTTTCCTCCAAACTTGCTGTTCCTCCAGCTCTGGCCTATTGTGGGGCCCCTCTCCTCCAAACATGGGATTGCCATTGGCCGCTTAGCCCTCCCCTTCTGGATTCCCTCACCGAATGCTTCCAAATCCCTTTCATTCCATAAAATTCACTTTTTGGCCAAGTATTTATATACCGCACCAAATTCCAGCTGAATAGAATTTAATGGCAGGCAGTGGTGTAGATGTGTTGTCACTGAGCCAGAAATCTAGAATACTAGGTTAAGGTCCTGGGGAAAGATGGTGAAATTTGAAGTCAATAAAAAAGACCCATTTAGTTCACTCATCTGACCTACGTGACCCACAGCAATATGCTTAACTCTTAAATGCTCTCTGGGTAATTAGAGATGTAGCCAGTGACACCCAAAAGCCGTGAATAAATTTAAACAAGAATTTGGAAGACTGGATACAGGGGCATTCTAGAACTGTCTGATAGTTTTGTGCCTGTGGCAGTAAATTTGAAAGGTGTATGACGCGTCAGCTGATAGACCATCCGCAGGAAATGAAGAGAACATGTCAGCAAATGATTCCTGTTGCAGTCCCTATCCAGGCATTGATTGGGAAGTACAGAATGAACCAACAACAGGCAAATTTTTGCAATCCACACTAACATTACCAAGGCTGTTGACTGAGAAACTAGCGTGGAATTTTTGTTTCATCCTTCTTGATTGCAGGACACTCCAGAGCCTGTTATAGACAACAAGATACTTGTTAAGTGTCATTGCTGTTGGAAAAAATGTCACAACTACAAAACAACGATGTGACAGTTTCCGTGCTGCATGACTATGACCTAATCATCTTGTTTTCACGATGTTGCTTAAAGGATAAATATTGGCCAGGGCACTGAGAGTGATCCCCTGATCTTCAGTGAAACAGTGCTGTGGGATCCTTCCATGTGTATCTGACATGGCAGACCAGAGTGGCATATAATCTAGTAATTCATGGCCTGTCACCAGGAAAAAATAAACACCGCTCTTTGGATAAAGGGTAGCGTGAAGGTTGTGGCTAGGAATTGCAATTTTAGAAGTCTGGAGTTCAAATCTCACCTACAGAATGGTGAGATTACATATAAATCCAGTAAGTCATGGGCTGGCAGCAGGAAAGACAAAGAACCAGGAAAGCTGCCATTTTATCATTAAAACCAAACTGGTTTGCTAATGTCCTCCAGTGAAGTGATCCTTCCTCCCATACCTGGTGTGGTTGGTGTGGAACTCAACTCCCGCTCTGTCTGGTTGACTTTCAGAGTGGCCGGGCTAGACACTCAATTGTAACCCAGTTGCTTCAAGGAGAAGACTCAGCACCACCTTGTGCCTCGGTGTATTGCCTATCATTCACTGACCGCTTTAACAGGGTCACCTTGTGCTGCTGGCAAAACAAGGCCCCTTCATCTCCAGCTCCTGTTGATTTGATTTGCTTTATTGTTGTCATGTGTACCAAGATACAGTGAAAAGTATTGCTTTGCCTGCTAACCAGGCAAATCATACCTTATATAAGTACATCAGGGTAATAGAGCAGAGTGCAGAATATAGTGTTGCAGCTACAGAGAAGATGCAGAGAAAAATCCACACTAATATATGAGAGGTCCATTCATAAGGCTGATAATAGTAGGGAAGAAGCTGTTCTAAATCTGTTGGAACGTGTTTTCAAACTTTTGTATCTTCTGCCTGACGGAAGAGAGTATAACCGGGGTAGGAGGGGTTTTTGATTATGTTGGCTGCTTTCCTGAGGCAGTGGGAAGTTTAGACAGAGTCAATGAAAGGAAGGCTGGTTTTCATGATGGACTGGACTCCATTCACAACTCTGTGTAATTTCTTGCGACTCTTGATGGCACAATCACATCAGTGGGGAGTGAGCAGGCAATTAAATGGTTAAAACGTGCTGTTGTGAAACCGGATGCTGAAACCAGGTACAAGACAAGCAACCCTGCTTTCTCCACTGCTCCTGGATCACTGCTGCTCCCGTTCCGATTAACCTGCTTCCCTGTGTTCGGCCCAGCTCAAAAGGCAGCAGCAAAGGTTCACTCAGGTTGACGTGAGCAGGCCACTGCAGGTACAGTAAGTGAAGAGGTGGGGAGTAATTAAGGTTTTATAGGTAAACCTCAACGCCTAGCAACATGTATGCCAAAGCCTCCCTGAAAGGTTACTACATCACCCAATCACAGGTGGCTATATCACCTGGACTGCTCTGGGCCCTGTTGGTGAGATGAGTTGTGTAAGCCTGAAACACCAACTGGCTCAAACCGGTTTCCATGGCTTAAATAATGGTATGTATTCCAAGACGGCATAATAACAATTCAGACAATAGGGCACGCAAATTTATTCCTACTTTGTACTGCATTTTCTGTTTGTCTAACTGGCCCCAGACTCTCCCTACATTGTGTTGACAATACCTTGTTTTTAATGGCATCTCTCATACATTCTGTTGATCCTGTCTCTGTGCTGGAGCCTCAGGTATTTCCTACTTCCGGATGTAGAGGGTGTGTTTAATGGATAAGGAAGTTTGGCAGACATTTCAACTTGTATTGAACCTCTGGTGAACTTGAAATACAAATGGAAAGTGCTGGAGAAGCTCAGCAAGTTCAACAGCATTTAGGGAGAGAGAAAGACTCAACATTTTGTGTCTTGTTTTTCGGAACAGCTGTACCTGATCTGGGAAAGTAATGTTTGATGATTCAAGTATAAAGGGGGCTTTACCTTCTTTACCTTGAAAATTAGAAAAACAAACTAAAATGTGTGTTTTTTTTTCCCTGTTGCTTCTTTTGTCTTTTGGAAGTTTTCCATTAACGGTAGCATAAAATAAAGCCCAAAGGGACCGTTCAGCTCTTCAGTTAGAGATATCTGCTGACATCCTGCTTTCTGTCCTTTCCCCCATATCTCCTTTGAGATTAAAAAAACAGATGGCACTGAGATTGAGCCACAATTAGCGCAGTTGTATTTTCATTTTAATTTAACTGATAGGACATTTGACACTTTAGTGATGAAGTCATTTGATGATACAGCACATGTGGCTTCTGTATGTTGCTGTGGTAACCCACTCCCAACCCTCGATACTTACACAGTGCGAGGCACCTCACCTGTGCGGTGCTTTAGTTTGTAGGAAAGAGGATATGCTGACACCTGTTTCCATCATCAGACTGCTTTGTGCCTGCTCCCAGAGGGTTAGCGTACCGAAAAGCAGATGAAACTGTAACAAGACGTCATCTGCGTATGTCAACTGTGCCATGACAGTCCAGGAGTGAAAGTGCAAAGTACGCAACAGAAAAACTCTTTCATGTTCGTAGAATGTGACAGCCTTCCCCAACAGTTTCAGCACAGAAGCTCCCAGATCAGCAGTGAAACAACTCACATTCTCTCCCCAACGTTTTGGAAACACAAGTCTCTCCCCAACACTAAGGGAGCTCAAGCCCCCTCCCTGACTGCACCTGCACATGAGCCCCCTCCTTAACAGAAGCAGCCTACAAGTCCTTTTCCCACCAGCACTAAAATGTGAACCCATTATCTGCAATACAGGAACACAAGCTCCCTCTGTCATTATGGCAATAATTAGTGCCTGGCCATTGTGGCTGTTAAAAACTCCTACCTCTTTGACTGCAGCCAGCAGCAGGTGTAGTCTGTTTGCTAAGAGCCGTAGGTTTATAATCTAAAATTCCTTGTAATTACATGAATTCCCACATGAAATAGGAATTGGGGAAAAGAACCAACACCTGTATGTGTTTTCTTTTTAGGGACCCTGGTGAAAGCTACTTTGAAATGTTTTCTGTTTCCTTGAGCATGTTTCTGTACTCTTGCCCTGTTCCAGGTATACGCAGTGGGAGGTTACGACGGTCAGAATCGGTTGAGCAGCGTGGAGTGTTACGACTCTTTCTCAAACCGCTGGGTCGAGATTGCGCCCCTCAAAGAGGCGGTCAGCTCACCTGCTGTCGCTAGCTGTGTCAGTAAGCTCTTTGTGATTGGAGGAGGACCTGATGACAACACATGCTCCGATAAGGTATCTGGCAAATGGGGCAGGGATTAACTGTTTATCGAGTCAAGAAGACGCCGTTAAGGCATTTAGTGTTCGATGTATCACCATTTATGGAATAATTTGTTTTAAATTGCATGCTCAAGTCTAGACTCGCATGCACTCATTCTCCCAAACACAAACTTCCATAGAGTGTGGAAACAGGTCATTCGACTCAACAAGTCCATACTGACTGTCTGAAGAGCATCTCACCCAGACCCATACCCCTACCCTATCGCCCTGCATTTCCTATGGCTAACGCACCTAACCTACACACCCCTGAACATAACAGGTGATTTAGCATGGCCAGTCCACCTAACCTGTATATCTTTGGATTGTGGGAAGAAACCGGAGCACCCGGCAGAAATCCACGCAGACACAGGGAGAATGTGCAGACTCCACACAGACAGTCACCCAAGGGTGGAATTGAACCTAGTGCTGTGAGGCAGCAGTGCTAATCACTGAGCCACCGTGCTGCCCCTACTTACATAATGAGCAATCACACACACATGTAAATACTTTCACACACATGCATAGATGCTCAGATTCACATGCTAATTAATTTATACTTCCCTACATAGTCATATTCGTGCACACACATACTCTCACACAGTGTTTAGCAGGAGAGACGGTGATCAGACATTGTCAATTTGGCTAAGTTCGTCCCCCTCAGTTCCCAAAGATGAAGCAATTCATAATATGATCAGCTGGCGATCATCTCATCGTTTTCCCTGTTATTTGAATGTGTGGACTGGTGCCATTCTCTCCTGCAGTCTCCCTTCAGGAGCCTGTCTAAACCTGAACTGCTCACTCTACTGACCAGCATATCGCTGGACACCTCCTTTTAGTTTTGCATCTATTAATGGAGAGAAAACCATCAACACTGGAAATTAACAGTAGTTACAGAGCTACAAATGAACGCTGTGATATTCTATTACCAGGTAGCATACTGTTTATCATATTGGTAATCCAGAGGTGTAGTTTGATCTAATGACAGGAGTTCAAATCCAACATAGGGGGGGCTGTAAGTTCTGTTAATTAAATAAATCTGGAATAAGAGTTGTACCATGAAATGACCAAATTGACACAAAAATCCTGCTGGCTCACTACTGTCCTTGAGTGAAGGAAGCCTGCTGTCCTAGCTACATTGACCTCTATGTGACTCCAAATCCAGAGCAATATTTGTCTGACCCCATCAAGCAATCTAACTGTATTCAAGTAGATAGCTCACTACCATCTTCTTCAGGGCCTTTAGGAAAAGGCAGCAAATAATTAAAAAAAAAACATGAGAAACAAACATTGTGGTCCTGAGTTATAAGGGCCAAGAACAGCCCTGCTTTCATTCCCACAGTCTATTGTTAGCCTGTCTTAGTGTGGCAACAGTGTGGTCACAATGGTTGTCTTTAAAGGTCTTAGGCTAGCATTAGGCAATCAGCGAGGCTTCCTAATCCTGATCACTATCCTGTGCAAAAGGCGCCTATTTCAATTCAAAGTGTTGTACTCCTATCTTTATTACATCACACGTTTGTTTCCATGTATACTTGGTCTACTTACACTTTGTTACTGTACCTCACGTAAATACTCAGTTTTGTTCCATGCACATCTTTTTTTGTTGCAGTCGATCAATATATATTTCGTTTTTTTATAGTGAAAGTGTGTGTTTATTGACTTCCCCATCGCTCTCTGACAGGTTCAATGTTATGACCCAGCCACTAATGTTTGGTTGTTGCGAGCACCCATTCCTGTTGCTAAACGATGCATTACCGCAGTGTCCCTGACCAACCTCATATACGTGGCCGGGGGCCTGACCAAGTCCATCTTCTGCTATGACCCAGTGGAGGATTACTGGATGCATGTGGTGAACACCTTCAGCAGACAGGTAACTCTATGAACTTCTCCTCTGTGACTTTACTGTGAAAGTATCCACCACCATTAGCCTCACTCTCTCATGATCTCACTGTCCACGAAATGATCAGGAACTGAAATGTACAGCTGCTCCATACATGGTGGAGTGGGTATCAGTTCTGTCCATCTAACTAACGCCAACCAGGTGACTATTTGCCAACAGAGTTGGGATCGATGGATGCCATTTCCTACGTTAGTTTTTCTGGTGAGGGCTGGGTGAATAAAATTCAGGAGCTCCTGTCTGCGATTTTCCAACCATTTCTTTCAACACTAAGAATATCAGGGATGGACATCGCGGAGTCTCCCTGAGTGTGCTGAATCAGCAAATTCCAGAATTCGGGTGCAGAAACTCAATCATAGCTCCTTTAATCATTAACCAGAGAGCCCATGATGGAAGATGCAAATGAGCAAGGTCGAGGCTAGGTCTCAAGAAATGAGTTTGTCATGATTGACTACCTATTTGTTATTTTTGTGAAAGGGTCAGAGAATAAGACTGGATAAGAGTGGGAAAGAGAGTGACAGAGATACATGTGGGAAAAGAAACAGATACACAAAGTCATTGTCAAAACAGATGGTCCGACTGAGAGACAGAAAGTGAGAAGGAATTTGACGAATGATTTTAATAGCAGCTATTGAATCAACCTAAAGAGCTCCAGTGAATTATTAAAGCCTCTGCCTTCCTGTTCTAATTTTTTTTTCCCATTCACTTTTCTTAGAATGTCTTTGTTTTCCAGAGCCCACGGAGTGACAAAGCCTCTGAGGTTAAATTTCTCTCTGCTTCGACTAATGTTAATTCAGCTTCTCACGCGATCACACCGTGACCCCACGTGCTAGCAGCAGGGTCAGGAACAGAAATCTCAGGCCCCAGTCCTGCTCCTAGTCCTGCCCCTAACCCAAGCACATGGGCTGTCTAGAGCCTCTGGCCCTGCTTATTGGGCCCTGATGTATCCCTCAGCCCCGCACCCTGTCCAGCCCCCTTGTGGTACTGACTGTATATCTACTGATGTTAATCCAGCTTCCTCAAAATATTGCTCAGTAACCCCTACCTCCAGCACTCTGTGGTACTGAATATGTTTACTAATATCGTCTGACTCAAATTTTCCAATGGGTGGTTAGTTACTGCAATCGTCTCTTCAAATATCAATCTTAAAAGAAAGGTAAAATGATAAGAAATGATTTTTGGTTTTGATTTTATTGTCACTTGTACTCAAGTACAGGAGTACAGTGAAAAGTGCTTAATGTCACCAGATAAGGCGCCATCTTAGGTATAAGTACTTAGGTACAAAATTGAGAAATTAAACATTGTAATGATTATAGTATAGTGAACCTTCTTCGTTTTAAGTAGAAAATAAAGAAATAAAGCTGAAAGTTCAGACTTTACAGTCTTTCTTAAGTGCTGTTCTAAAACCAGACTGTGCAGTGTAAGTGTTTGCCTGTTGATGCATTCACCATTACCTCAGTAATAGATAAGGAAGGTCCAAGTCTGTTACATGATTGTTTGTGATGCAAGTTCCCTTTTCTGTGTCATCCAGGAGAGTTGTGGTATGTCTGTGTGTAATGGCAAAGTCTACATCCTCGGTGGCAGAAAGGAAACTGGAGAGGCCACTGACACTATCACATGCTACGACCCAGCAACAGGAATCATCACAGCAATGGCCGCCATGCCCAGGCCCATCTCCTACCATGGCTGTGTGACAATCCACAGATACAATGAGAAGTACAGACCTTGAGCCAGGGATCTCCAGCACCCACCCAATACTGAGTGGCAAAGAGGCACAACCACACTATAACATCCTGTGGAAGGACCAGAGGTGACCTCTGCAGGTTTTATATTAGATGACTTTACTGTAGCATATTCTTCAAAAGATTGAGCCTTTTTTTGTAAAAGAAACTTTTATTACAACAATAGAGTTGCAGATCAACAAACATTGTCTTGTGTAATGCGAAAGTCCCAGAGATAAAAATACCAAAGCTGTGGCATTACAGGCAATATTATGCCATTTGCACATGTTCCCACATCCCTCAGATAACCATGGACAGTTAGTGGTGCATTTAGTGCCACAGGGTAATACTTTAGGATCCAATACCATAATCCAGAAGGTAATTACTGTTCATTTTCTAATGTAATTAGACAGTCAACAAGCAAGAAATGCAAGTGGAAACCTTTTGTTGAGTCAGTTGGAGGTGCCTTGGAATCCTGGAGGCTGAGGCCCTGTCCAAGGTCAGGATTGAAACCTTCATATTCGAGCATCTATGTCACTTTGACATCATTCAGTAGCTGCCATGTGGCCACACTCAGTGAAATGTGTAGGTGTTTTCGTATACAGTGATCCTAGTTAACGTCCTAATTTTTCACCTTTTGATCTTTATCGAGGCCTAAGAGGAAAAAAAACTTTAATTCCTGCATGTAACCCAGCAGAAGTCAATCATGAGATACCTTGGCGCTGGTTGCCTTGGGTTGGAGATGGAAGGTCAGACTCACTGAGCTGTGATCCTATGTGTTGAGGCCAGAATGAAAACCTTCCAGATCGTATCCCTTGGGGTTTTTAATGGCCCCAAATTCACTGTAAAATTTTTTGTCAAAAACGGATTTTTATTTCATTTCTGGCATACCTCTCTGACTGCAGAGATGATATAATGCATCAAATGCATCAGGAATTGCTACACCTTAATTCTGGAAAAGCATCAGCCTTTTTGATAGGAGTAGCTGTGAGTGGATTTGTCATTCACCCATAGAGGAGGCATGCCCTCTCCTAATTGGAGTTCTGGTTTAGATCCTAGATCCAGTGATTGAAATAAGTGTATGTGGGTTATTTTCCAGACATTGTTGATCCGCGTTGGTTATATACTGTGTATATATATCCCACAGTGAGCGAGTTATAGCCCAGTAATATGCAGTGACAGTTTATTTATACCATGTATATTTACCCTTGCTATATAGTATGTGAATTATTCCCAATTCCCAGTTATGTATATAGCATGAAACAGGACATATTGATGGGATAAGAGATAAAAGCTTTAGTAATTATAAAGGAAGCAACAGAGGTATAGTGCTGACTGTTAACCCTTGAATATCAGATTGTGCATTTAGAGACTGTGTCACTGCATGAGTGAGGGTCAGACCCTCTGCTAGAAAATGAAAGTTGTTAATATCTCTCAGAGAAGAACATTCCGTTGTAGCTTTTCCAAAATGTGTCCTTTTGCCATTTCCTTACACCACTAAAAGTTTCTCCTAAAAGTGGATTGGAATAGGTTGGGGATGAGTATGCACAAGTTCCACTGCACCCACCCTGGGGGGTCCTCTTCATGTATCTGCTGGAAGGCAATAGATCGATGTGTAACTGCCAGGCCTGATCCAAGCTTTGGCTCACATCCACACATATTTGGAGGAGGCCTTGACTTTGTGCAATTTTATAAAACAGCCCACTTTAATCACCATCATCAGTGAAGGTAAAAGTGGGGAAAATAATGGAAAACAGGCTGCTTGTTAAACATCACTCATTTCGCACTACTGTACAAAGTCTTCCCCAAGGACTTGCCAACAACTTAAGTCATAATATCAGGGAAATTTTGCAATAATGTGAGATTTGAGGGAGTTAAAGGATTGAATTCTTTATGGCACTCATTGATCTAATGTAAGGTAGCTCAATCAGACCTAATTCGATTTGGGATAGCTAAAGGCATAGTACTACTGTCACTGGACTAGCAATCCAGAAACCGAGGTTAAGGCTTTGGGAACAGCAGTTGGTGGGATTTGAGTTCAACTAATTCATGATTCTGAAATTAAAAGCTATTGTCGTTAAATGATCATTGATCATTATAAAAGCCCTTCTGGTTCACTATTGTCCTTCAGAAAAACAAATCTGCCATCCTTTCCTGGCCTGGCCTACATGTGATTCCAGAGGCAGAACAGTGTGGATGACCTTTAACTATCCTCTGTATGGCCAATAAGCCATTCCATTCAAAGGCAATTAGGGATGGACACAGACGCTGGCCTTGTCGACAACACCTATATCCCATGAAAGAATCAATAAATTCCATTTGCGCCGAATCATTCAATTATTTCCTTCAATTGCCAGACCCTGAATCGGAGATATTCTTGGCAGGGGGAAAGAAATTACAACTGCAATAAAGTTAACTAAAATCCTACAGCACTGTTAATTTTAGAACAATTGCAGCACTGGACCTCAGGTGTGTAAATCCAAGATGTTATAGGTTGAGAAGTGTGTTGAGGGGTTGGTGAGTTTGAAAGGTGGATGAAAATTGTTGGATTCTAGAGTGATCAGGATGGGGTGGATGGCGAGTACACTGGCACTCCAGGGCTTATGAACCCTCTTTTTAAGAGGAAGAAATCTTGATTTTCCAAGCTATTTCCTCTGTGAAACTGGATAACTTTAGCGCTGGGAAGCGAGGATATGCCAGAACATTCTGAATCAGGGAAAGGTTGACAGGTCTCAATTGGCCTGTGTTCCCAAAAGGCTTGTGTAGCTTCTGCACGTTTACAATTAAGATGTCCTGGAGCCAATCTAGAAAGCACAAAGCTTTCCCTATGGCAGAAACCTCACCAAATTAACGTCTGTGTTTATCTGAGTGGATTATCTTGACCTTGCCACTAGTAGGATGTGTGTGTTTCATCCTTTCCGCCCTGATGTAGCATCCTCAGTTCCGTCAAAGAAACGCCCAGAGTGCACTTTGTTGAGTATGCTCGTAACTTCAATTTTTCTTGCTCTTCATCTTAATTAATTATTTGATGCATTTATATGAAATGGTTTTGTTTTTTACACAATAAGTTACAGGAGTGTTTTGCTGTAAATACCACACTTCGCTGTTTATTCCTATGTCCCATGTTTCACTGTAACTGCGAGCACTGCTTGCTGAAGGAGCACAAGTTGGAGAGCTGGCACAGTCTTAAGTTCTTCACTGAGAATGTTCTGAGAGCTGGCTTCTGTGTAAGCTTCACACTGGTGTAAAGGCCTGAAGCCAGCGTATGAATGAACAGGTTGCAAAAGCCATTGGAGATGTTGTTCTTGCGCAACAGCAGCCAGTTTGGCCTCAGTTATTTTCCCGTTCACCGAGGGAAAGAAACCATGGGAGGAAGTCTTTGTTGAATAGGAATAAAGTTCCCATCTTGTTAGTGGGATGGACCCTTGGTCCAAACAAGGAGGCATTGAGAGGAGTGGCTCCCTCATTCCAGGACAAAGAGGATGGGTCAGAAAGGGCAAGGTTATAGACTGATAGCACCAGGCACTGGAGGCAGAGAAAGTAATGCAGTGAAGTCATTCACATGCCAGACTTCCATGTTGTTTCTGAGCTCAACCAAGTACAGACAGCAGCTGGTCTTCAGTCTCATTGATTTAATGAGGGTCTTTCACCACTGCAAGGAATGCAGGGAATGACCCTGCTTCTAATAAAGCAATTATTCTCTTGCTTATCAGTGAGAGAAAGCTTTTTGTAATTCCCAGAACCAGGCAGGTGCTGAGGTGAATGAGTAAGAAAGCAAGACAGGAAAAGGAAGATGGGCAGAGAAAAAAGGTAGGCAATGCACGACATTGATGCTACTTAGTCATCGCTCCAGCCTTTGTGACAAATTCAGCAAGCTGCTTTCAATCATGTTTATGTTCCTGGCATACCTTAAATTTCAGATATATAACTTACAATTTAAAATACTACAGCAAGGCACCCCACAGTATTTCTCAAATCCACCAGAAGTCAAGGTGAAAGCAAGAACTCCGCTGTGGTCAAACTCTCCATGGAATGGCATGATAGAAAAGTGTTACTGAGATCTTGCTCCAGCATCTTCACCATTCAGTAAAACATGGTACAGTAGAGGTTTTACTCATGAACCTTGAGACAGTCAAATAATGACTGACTAATAATTGCATTCACCCAGGACTGCTGGAACACTGAACTGAAAACAGAGCTCCTGAGTTTAACAGGGAAACTCCCCCTTGTGAGAGCAGCCACACTCATTACCAATTCAGGAATGCATGAGAACAATGAGTATTTATAAGTTTTCTGTTGTTGTAAGCTATGCTTTTATTAACAAATTTATTTATTCTTTAAGTATGTTCTTCAAAACCATTTTACAGAATGAATGTTGCAATCTTTGAAGTTTTGCTGTTTACCGAACACACAGGAGTTGAGGATGTGGCAAGGCATCTCTTTTGATGTCCATTCTCAGCATGTGAACAATATATGGCTGTGTGTATTGGCCTAACTAATGCATGGTCTATGAGGTGAATCAACTATTGCAACAATTGATGCACAGCGCAATTGTAATCACCACACAATGCAGGAAGCCACCAGATCTGTTAGTAGACATTATTTAAAAACAGTTAAAAAGTGTGTGTTGCAGCCAACTACTTCAAAAATTGTGACCCTGATCAAAGAGATTTAGACACATTCCAAGTCCTTGTCAAATGGTTTCATTACAAAATCCAGTCTGTAACTTACTGCCAAATATCCATATTTATTTATTTACAAATTACCCAAACTTTTGTTAGATTTCAGCCTACAAATAACCCACCACTGTAACAGTATTTTCTCCATGAAGTGTGAATGAGCTACACAATCAGTGATGTAGTTTAGTGGCAATTTGACCTGGTTCATGGTTTTGATCTATACATTGAGGAGCAGTGAGTGAATAATTTTCAGCCTGATTGAGAAATTTTTAATGCTGTAAGTACCTGGCATGCTTTTTTTTTGTAATTAGATAGGTGTAAAGTGGTTGTGTTATTTTTGTAAAATTTGGGTTGTCCTGGAGACAAAAGCATACCTTCCTTTTGTTTTCTGCTTAAGTTGTACAGTATGAGCTGCATATAAACAAACTGTACTTGAATCCAGGGTGGTATATCATTTTAAAAACTTGATCACAACTATTAAATGAATAGAGAACACAATTAATCAAAATAGCACTGTATGAAATGCCAGCAGTGACCTTGGGTGACTGAGAGTTATGGTGAGTTGCGTTACCTGACTGTGTGTTTCCTCTGTCCTTTCAGTTGTCTGAGCTTCAGAATTCCCTAAATCTCTCCAGCTCTCGATTTCTCACTCTCCTCCTTTACATACTTTAAACTAAACTCTATGCCCAAGAAATTGAACTATACGTCCTAATACTGCCCCTTATGCTGAATGTCAATTTTTTGTTTGATTAGACTCCCAGTTTTGCAAAGTTTTACAATGGATGCTGTATAAATGCATATTATTGTTGTCTTTGGATTTCAGTGATGCTTAACAAAGGGCCTTCAGACACAGTTATCGAGAGCCTCAAAACAAGGGGCAGACTACAAGGGAAAGTGCACACTATGGAACTTCTTGTGTGCAAAGTAGTAATGACGCTTGATGTCAGCACATTCGATCTTCATTTTAACACGTTACTTTAAAACTAAAACTGCAGTTCAAAATTATGAGTAGATATGATGGGGTAAATCAGAGAAATTGCTTCCACTGGCAGGAATGTTGAGAACCAGAAGATGGATTGGCAAAAGAATTAGAGTGTATGGGTGGGGGGGGTTCTTTTGTGAAGTGTATGGTTATATTCTGGGTTGCCTTGTTGAAAAAGGTAATGGAAGCAGATTCAGTTGCACCATCCCAGAGGGAATTAGGCGTAAAAAGGGGAACAATTTAGACGGTGTGTAAAAAAAAGGTGGAGGAGCCCAAACAAAGCAATGCCTGATTTTTTTTGTGTGTGTTGTTCTGAACAAAGCAAAGTGCTTCCTATTGTTGGGAGAACAATGGTATTTGTGTCAAACCTGGCCAGTCTGTCTGGGCTATTCCTGTAAAATAAGCGACCCAAATGGGGAGAAGTGTGAAAGCCAATTGCAAAGAGAAAAAAAAAGAGGAAACGTTCAAATAATTGACATAAGCATGTCCAAATCTGTATTCCTCTCTAACAACATCCATCTAAGGCTCTCTTTCGTTCTGAAATGATTAGCACAAGTTGCATTTTTCAACCTACATAAATATGTTTTTTTTTCCCTTTCTTGAGTTGGCTGTTGTGTGAGTGTCCTTTTCTGAACCCAGAATAGGGATTGTTGATTGGAGGGCTGACTCAAATGTTTCACACATTCACCAGTCAACAGCTCTTGTCAAATGTTGAGACAGCAGTACCAACTTTGATTGCGTATAATAATTGTTACATGTAAATTACTTCTAATTGTGTGTATGTGATGTAGGTTAGTGACTTTTAATAAAGATTCTATTCTCATCAAACTTTTTGGTCTATGTTTGTGTGAATGTGAATGTACTGGATCACATGGTGAACAGAACCGAGAAGCTGAGGAGACTGGGGTCTATATTCTCTAGAATGAAGGGTGAACTCATCGACTTGCAAAAGATAGAGAAGGAACGGTGTTTCCTCTGGTGAGGGTGATCTGGAACCAGGGGACACAGCCTCAGAATAAGGGATAGACCAGTTAAGACTAAGTTGAGGAGGAATTTCTTCACTCAGAAGGTGATTCTTTGGAATTCTCTCCCTCAGATGGTTTCAGAGTTCAGTCTTTTTGGTGATGAATAGAGTTCTACATATTTGAAAGTATCTCGGGATATGGGGATAGTGTAGGGAAACACCATTGAACTAGATGTTCAGCCATGATCTAGTTCAATGATACAACAGGCTCGATGGGCCAAATGGCTTAGTCCTACTTCTGTTTCCTTTATTCCGAATTTAATTATCGCATGTCCTACCGAGAAGCAAGTTGGGAGGTGGGGGTGTGGCATTGTAGAATCAGGAATAAAGGCAAGGGGCAAGTCACCTTCCCAACTCACCCATATTTAATCATGAGTGTTACAACTGACAACAGCCTTCCCAAATGGAAGCCAACTGAGGCCGTTAAGTGGACAAACAAAATTCTTACAGGGACCTGCAGTAACAGGATAAAAACATGGCATGGCACAGCCAAGGGAAATTAACGAAACATTGAGGATGACCCCTCATTTTAAATGCCCTCCCAATCCAATCCAAAAATGCTGACACCATGAAGCTTGAAATGCTCTACCTATCCTTCTATAACAATCTTTCAGTGTAAAGTGTGATGCCGTATATATTAACTGTGCTCTCAGTTCATTTGTTACATTCACTAGATTCATTGCATTAGAGCATATACAAGGAACATAGAGCCCTCACTCCTCCATTTCTTCAGTTACGTATTAAGAAAGATTTGGTGAGTTTGGCTTCCTGATCAGTGTGGTCAGTTGGATACTCCAGATGCATCTCTAGTGGTGTGGGCACTCAGCAGTAATATCCAAATTAGGTGACCTTCCTCTGAGTTCTTGCAGATCAGAGATTATTCAAACAGACGATGAAAATGTTGAGAAAGAGATCTGTATAAACTGCTTGTGCTTGTCACCCATTAATAAGTTCAAGATGACCATGAACACTAGAATCAGAGGATATAGCCCCAAAGTCAGAGGAGGGATGGTGCCCAGATGGATTCTCTTGAACTGTTTTACTCAAAGGGTTGTGAAGTAATGGGCAATACAGGGAGGTAAGGTGAGGGTAAATTTAAAGGAGAATTTGATAGATATTTGAGGGGACTAAGGATATTGCCATGGTCCCAAATGACTGACAAAAATACAGCATGCAGGTGAGTGAAAAACAGGCAACATTGAATTCAGCTGGGCTGTGTCATTTTCACAGGCCATCCCAGACAAGGGCCTCATTAAAATCTAAATGTGAGTGTACCTTGTCATAATTTGGACTGAGACTCCATTTTATTTGAGGGCTCTATGGGTTGCAAAGGACGACATTGGCTATTTTCACCCATGATAAATATGAATATAAATATGTCATTAGAGTCATAGAGATGAACAGCGTGGAAACAGACCCTTCAGTCCAACTCATCCATGTTGACCAGATATCCTGAATTAATCTAGTCCCATTTGACAGCATTTAGCCTATATCCCTCTAAACCTTTCCTTTTCATGTACCCATCCAGATGCCTTTTAAGTGTTGTAATTGTACCAGCCTCCACCACTTCCTCTGGCAGCTCATTCCATACACGCACCACTCTCAGCGTGAAAAAGTTGACCTTTAGGTCCCTTTTATATCTTTCCCCTCTCATCTTAAACCATCATACTTTAGTTTTGGAGTCCCCTACCCTGCGAAAAAGACCTTGGCTATTCACCCTATCCCTGCCCCTCATGGTTTTATAAACCTCTATAAGGTCACCCCTCAGCCTCTGATGTTCCTGAGAAAATAGCCCCAGCCTCTCCCTATAGCTTAAACCCTCCAAGCCTGACAACATCCTTGTAAATCTTTTCTGCAGCCTTTTAAGTTTAACAACACCTTTCTTATAGCGGGGAGACCAGAATTGAACGCAGCATTCCAAAAGTGGCCTAGCCAATGTCCTGTACAGCCGCAACATGACCTCCCAACTCCTATAGTCAATGCACTGACCAATAAAGGCAAGTGTACCAAACACCTTCTTCACCACCCTGTCTACCTGCGACTCCACCTTCAAGGAACTGTGAACCTGCACTCCAAAGTCTCTTTGTTCAGCAACACTCCCTAGGACCTTACCATTAATTGTATAAGTCCTGCCCTGATTTTGCCTCTCCAAAAGGCAACACCTCGCACTCAGGATGTTTAGCTTGTGAAACATCAGTACAAAAGACCACTGTTGTTTCAAGTTGTCGTATGGGAATTTTCTTGACTGTAGGGCATTTAACTGACGTACTTTAACCCATCAAAACCAGCAACCAAACTAGTTTGAGTGCACCAACATTTCAAATGACCAGGTGAGCTTCACAATTGCTTTGACTCTTCTTTCTGTGATGACCAAGCCTGCTTAAGAGGGATGAAGTAATACTCTCTAAATAGGATGGTTGATTTAAAGTTATTCCAGGCATTCTCTGAGGAATACATAAACTAATGTATTAAAAGCCCCAGAAACCTGAACCCTAATGTTATGTTTCACTCTTATCATTCCTTTTGTACCATGCCAAAGAAATTAACATGCAGCAAGAAACATGAAAAATTTCCTCTTTAATATCAACAAAAACCATAGTAGTATCTGCTTTTAGCTGGACAGAACCTATTTTCAGGAAAATAGATGTCACTGATGAAGGGTGTAAATCCAAAACATTGACTTTCCTGCTCTTCTGATGCTGCCTGACCTGCTGTGTTCCTCCAGCTCCACACTGTATTGACTCTGACTCCAGCATCTGCAGTTCTTGCTATCTCACTGAAAAATACTACATCCTGGAAGCATCATTCAGGCCAAGGTTGCAGTTGTTTAGTTTCTATTGTTTCTTTTCTATCTTCGGCCTTTTTGCACAGTTTCAGAAACGCACCTCTATGTAAAGTATTACCCTCACATGAATTTGTGGCCAAAAGAGTTAGAAGGATTTTTGAGATTACTTTTCAAGCTGTGGGAGAGTCCAATCTAACCTCGCTATCACCCAATCTATCTTCTAATCCCTTAGCAATTAGCTTTGTGTTGGCTTTGTAAGTCTTATCAGCAAGAACATTTTCAGCACTGATCTAATTAAATGGCAAAGCTGGTTGCCTGTTAGTGGTACCTTAAAATAATCTTCACTCTCCAACTACCTAATTTAGTTTGTTTTTTGGTTCACTTATTAGTTTATCAAGTTCATTGACTTCCATCAAATTTCACTGCCATGGGACATACTGCTCCCAGCTCTGTTCCAAGACTGTCCTCTAGTCATCATTTCCTTGTGTAATCTAGTCAAGCTACGGTCTCTATTTCCATTGTTATAGCTGTGGGCCTACTACAGTAAGATCTCCCTGTTGTCCTATCTGAATCTTTTTTTTCACTATGTGGTCATTTTCTGATACAAGAGTCACTTATAGGCCCATGATTAGAAGTTGCACTGCCTTTTTTTTCACTCACCACTACTCCATCCTGTTCTGCCAGTCCATGGACTTCACTTCTCAGCCAATATCCGGACTATTCAACCAATATAAAAACTTGCCAGTGTTTCATGTTCTCACTTGTCATATTTCTCCATTAATTAAAATATATGCCATCCAAATACCCAGTCACGTAGCTGGTCTTTGGATGCAACAGGTCTGTCCCAATGTCATGACCAATTCACATTACCACTATCCAACCCTTGATTTGCTGTATTCTGCTCTTCAGGATCTTTGTTATTGGACACATCAGCACACAAGGTACAGGGAGACTCAATTCCTTCGACAAGCTGCTCAGATTCAGAGGTGTGAAAGAGAATGAAATTTAACAGTGGGATTACTATGTTTGATAACTACTGTCTTCATGTCACAGTCTATTATTTTACCAGAGCCTTTCTATTTGCAATGACACTTTTTCAATACACCAAATGTGTGAATTAAATTCTATCTCAAAACTGTTTGGATTTTCTCTGAGACCTCAAGAGTTAATTAAATTCTGATTCCTTGCAAGCAAAGTTTCCAATGCGCAGAAAAAAAAACTAATTATAGTATATTCTAGAGCAAAAGGATGATCTGACAGCACAGATGCCAGCTGGAATTTGGCACTTGGATCAAGTGGTAGAAACCATACCTTCCAACCATATGAAGTGGATTCTTTGCATGAACTACCCACATCTGATGATTATTGGCTTGCAACTTACTTGATCAAGAAAAATTTCATGCAGTATTTGATTGGTCACCAAATAATTCCAACTATAAAGTTCATTGCTAGAAGGACTTTCAGTAGCATTATTCATGACCATATGTTTATACTTTCACATGTCTCTAAACACAGCATTGGATGTTTTCCCTCTGTTTTCAGATAGAAACTTAATTGGTGTCCCACATTTGGTTCTGGGGGCAATTATCAATTTCCACATGACCTCCGCCCCTACTACATATTATCGTATAAAGACTAAATCGGTTTGCTGGGTGTATAAAATGTAAAATGGATGTATTTCTATCTTTTGTTGCACACCCTTAGATCCATGGCAACTACCTCATTTAAAATCGCATAACAATGAAAGCTTGCAAAAGGAATTGTTTTATTTCTGGATATTTTTCTAAGTTACAAGTTCCAAGATATTATCACACATCTCTGAAGCAGGTAGAACTTGAACCTGGGCCTTCTGGCTTAGACATTACCATTATGCCACATCAGCCTTCTAATTCCAGTCTTTTAATTCCTTCAGCTGCTGTGGTGGGATTTGAACCCACACCCCCAGGTCTAAGTGGTATTACCACTTCACCACCATCTGTCCCTTGGTTTGTTTTCATGCTTATTTTCAATGGGTTTCAT